TCTTTCTTTCTTTCTTTCTTTCTTTCTTTCTTTCTTTCTTTCTTTCTATCTATATACACATACATACACATACATATACATATATACATACACACACACACACGGTTATTGGTTATTTGGTTATTCGAGTTTTCTCTCGCGTAACATTGGAAGTATCTAGGCGATGTTTTGATGAAGTCTCATTCGTCATCTTCAGGCTTGTGTCTTCAGCTTTGTGCTTCTCAGAGTAATGTGAGCTTGCAGCTGCTTCTTCCTTTTAACTGCTCGTGGGGGTGTGACTTGATTGGGTGGGGGTTTGGCTGTGTTCTGATTGGTTGGGGGTTTGGCTGTGTTCTGATTGGCTGGGGTTGTGTTCTGTTCAGATGGGGGCTTGGTTGTGCTCAGGTTAGTCTTAGTTGCCGGGGGATTTGAGCTGGTGAGCTGTGATCCTGTTGTTTGGCTTCGCATTTGTGGTCGTGCCACGTCTTCATGGTGGCCGTCCGTTCGCTTCATGTATGGGTCGGAGGGGTTTGAAGCGGGTAGTGATGCAGCTGTGGTATGGCTTCTGGTCCGACCACGGAAATTGTACTTCCTGCAATCAAGTTTGGAGTGGTTTACATTTAGTTTATATCTGTTGTGTGCTCTTGTATTATTGCGGTTGAAGCTGAAGTAGTCATTGACTGGTAAGACTGGTAATCAACTAATGGAATGGCTTGCCTTCAGAAGTGGGAGCTCCATCAATGGAGGCTTTCAAAAAGGGACTGGACTACCATTTGTCTGAAATGGTGTAGGGTCTCCTGCTTGGGCAGGGGGTTGGACTAGCAGACCTTCGAGGTCCCTTCCAACTCTATTATTCTATGTTCTTTCATGGTTGTCTCTGATTTGCTTAATGGATGGAATTCAAATGCCCTACATTCAAAGCCATGGCTCATATGCCAAGGTAAAAATTCACACCACTTCTCAAGGTAAAACTAAATAAATCCTTTTATGGCTTAATATAATGAAAGAATCCATCTTGACGAGCTGGCTTCTGGCTTCCAGTTTGAATCAGATCAAACCACTTATTGAAAAAGGGCCATTTTAATCAAGAAGATCTCCATTGGCTTATTCAGGAAGCTTTCATTAAGTCTTCTTCTTCTTCTTCCCCTCAAAATGGAAGATGAAAAAGTTTTTTTTTTTTTAAAAAAAAAAAGTCCTTTCCTGTTTTTTCCTGATGGTGTCGAACTTCTATAGCTGTTGTCTATGGGGGATCTAAGCTTCAGGGTCTTAAATTAAGCTATTTTTGGCTTCCAGGAAAAAAAACCACAAGGTTTGTGAACTTTTGCCTCTGCCCAAAATTTCCAGGCTGAACTTTGACATGCTCAAAAAAGGAGGAGGAGGAGGAGGAGGAGAACAATTATTATTTCTTCAGATGATTTGGTCCCTTACTAGCAAAGCCTCATTATAAAAGGAAAAGAGGTCTTCTCCTTTTTAAAAAAGGAATTTATTCTATTTATAGCGACATCATTATCTCTAAGCCTCCAATGACGCTCAGTTGCAAGTAAACAACTAAACAACTCTGTATTCAAATACTCTATCAGAGTTATTGATAGTTGGTTTCACTCTCATCCCTCTGGTTTCTTCCCCTCCCCCCCAATCGCCTTGAGGAGCTGACCTTGGTCTTCACTTGTTTGTTCACTATTGATGTCACGACTGAGAAATGGCTTCTCAGCGCTTCTACTGATAACACAATAAATAGGTTGTGTGTTTCTCTTGTCTGGAAGGTAAACAGCTTTTGAGAGAGAGAGAGAGAGAGAGAGGTGGAGAGAGAGAGAGAGAGAGAGAGAGAGAGAGAGGTGGAGAGAGAGAGAGAGAGGGGGGAGTTAAAAAGGAGTGAATGGGAACAGGATTTGCTACTGAAAGGAGAAACTTAAGGCGGTTTTCTTTTTCAAAAAAGGATGGTCTTAATTGCCAATGAGCTAACTTTTGAGCAGAATTAAACTCTCTCTCTCTCACACACACACACAGACAGAAATTATTGGCTTGCAGAGATTCCCTTCTCTAAGAATTTAAAGAGAAGCAGCACTTAACCTCCCATTTTCAAAGCCTCCCGGCGTTTCTGTGATTCTTTGTTTGTTTGTTTGTAATTATCCAACACAAACAGAGCAATGATAAATAAAATTCCGAGTAGATTGGCTAATCGGTGGGAGGTTTTAATGTAATATGATCTGATTGCCCCATGTGTAGAAGAGGATCATGTAAGCAAAACATGTGTGTGTGTGTGTGTGTGTGTGTGTGTGTGTTATTTATATATATATATATATATATACATATTGCACTCCCACCTTCCGTTCTGCCAAAAATGCAGAAAACACTGGGGCAAACCCACTGAGGGGTGTCGAAGTTCCTGTGGTCCAAAAGCCAGCAATGTGCTTTAAATTAAGGGCAGACATTTCAAAGGTTAAGAGGGCTGTTTTTTAAGCAGAAAGCGAACAAAGAATGAAGGAGAAGGAGGAGGGGGAAAATGGGAAGCATTTATTGCTTAAAACACTAGAATCTGCTACACTTAACTGGGATGGCCAAAAAATAATAATCATCTTCTTAACGCAGCAAGAAAAGGGTTGAGTTATTCCTGCAAAGAATGCTACATTTCCCCCCATGGATGGTGGGTCTGAGTAACTCACTGGCTGCTGTGTTGATACAACGTCAACACAGCATCCATAAGAGGTGCTAAGAATCTCCAAGCTGACTAGATGGGACACGTCATGAACTGAACACATGTGAAACTATCCCTCGGATGGCTGCTGAAGTCTTCTTTCCCATAATTTCCCATAAATCAGCTTTGCAAATCCTGTGGAATGGTGCTGCAAACCATCAGGAGGGATGTGTTGTGGTTTGCCGGCAGCCGGTGCAGATGGCAGTGGAGTTGGACAGTGGGGAAGAAAGGGGACCAGTCCAGGAATCTGGAGAAGACTGGAACAAGGGTCCTGCATCCGGTGCAGAGATGGGGCCAGGACCACCTGGGAGTGGGGTGCTGACTCTGTAGCCTCCAGAGTCTGGCAGCAGCGAGGCAGAGGACCCAGGGGAGCCTGTTCCCAGTGCGCGCATGCACAGAGCTGCTAGAAGGCAAGAACAGCTGAGACCAAAGGGGCAACTCAGGAGTAAGGCTGGGAGGTGATTGCCCCTCCCAAAAGGGATAAAAGTCAGACCTCAATGACAAAAGCTTTGCAGGAAGCAAAGTAGTTCAATAGTTTCCGAGTCGTTCTTGAAACTCTGTGAACTCTGGTTGTTTTTTTCTGGGACGTTTGTTGGTTTATGTTATAATTAATCGGACTTCTGTTTTTTGGCAGCATTCTACAGCACTTGAAAGGCGTGCTCTTATCTGGGGGAACTGTTTATAATTAGTTCTGCCAGGGAACGCAAGGAATTCCCAGCGTTGCATTAAAACAGGTTTTGCTTTCCAAGTTAGTTTGTGTTTCATTAAGTTTGACGAAGCCCGGGTCAGAACAGGATGGTGATAGTAGCCATGGAAGTGAGACTGACATTGGAGATGCTCCTCTTCACAAGCTCTCGTGACCTGTTATCTTGTCTATTTTGAACACCTCCCAAAAGCGTCTAAAGACTTTTTTTCACGGCATGGGAGAAATTCCACACACTGGAAATTTGAGGAGGTGAGTGGAGGTTTATAAAGGGCAAACGATGCAAATGGAATTGTCTACCTTTATGTTTGCTTTTTCTTGGATTTGCAGGGAGAGGGAGCGTAGGGCATTTCTGCTTATGGCCTCTAGTCAACATGATTCTCTGGGTTTTCCTGTGGAAGGGTGCCATTGACTTTTGACAGTTATGTCGCAAGGAGCTCCTGGAAAGCAATCTGGTTGCCTGTCTCTGGCTGTGAGGCCACATCTTTCCCATAAGTGCCATCGGAAATCCAAAACTGATGTCATAATAATCCCCCAGGTAGGGTGCGTTTGATGAGTTGCAAGAGGAACACAACGTTAACCAGCGGGTGAAGTAAGTCACTTTGAAGGGCAAGGAGAACCAAGGGACTCCTGGATAACAGAAGGTCCAGAAGGCCCACAGTGAAGAAAAGTGTGAAATTAATCGTATCAGGGAACCGACATTTGAAAAGCAAAGCTTGGAAGTTTGGAGTTTCTTAAAAAACTTACCTGATCATTATCGTCTTCATCACTGCTGAGTTTCAAGTCATCTTCAAGCATTCTTTAAAGCGGAAAGAGAAAAAGAAACAGGTTGCAAAGTTATGCATAGTGTAAGGATTAGAACATGCTATATCCCTCGTTGCTGTTATAAAAAAAAGTAGGGTTACATTGATATGGCAATAACTGAAGAGACATCACACTGATATCAACCAACTTAAGAAAATATTAAAATATTAAGGACTAGCTCAATACTGATGTTTTGCTACAAAACTATGTGGTTGGGCCTTAGTTTTGGGGGAGGAAAATAAGGGGAAAAAATTCTGCCTCTGCCTACCAGCATCCATCGGTATTCACCTGGCTAGTGTCCTGTCACTGGGTGAGAGAGTTGAGGGCTGTTTGGAAACTGAAAGAGTATTTGCTGTGTGAGCAAGAAGGAGACAGCAAGGAGCCTGGGCACGGCTTAGCTCAACTGTTCTGTACTAAAGCTGGTTGCTGCTGTGAAGCTAAAACTGAAACTGAAACTCCTCTCCTGCTTGTGTCTTGCATTTGGAAGAGATTTCTTTTCAGGTGGGGAGGGGGAGTAGAACTCCTTAGCATCAGAGCGTGTTAATAATAACAATATAGGAAATACTAATAGCTCTGATGGCCATTTCAAAAATCCTTTCTTAGTGAGCACCTAGAAGCCAAGAGGAACATAGGTTTTATGGTTTTGGAGATTTTGTGATGATGTATGAGTGGCATTTCGCTTTTATATATATATATATATATATAAATATAAACAGACACTGAAGCCTTCTTAGAATTCCTCCCCAACTTTTAAGTTTCTCCCATCCTTCTCAGGTGAACCCACCCTAAAACCTGGACAGGTTCCATTTATTATTTGATAATAAGATACTTTCACCCCCTTCAGCTTTTTGGGGGCCGATCGTCTCTCAGGTCTTCTTCTCAAGAAGAATTAAAGTTGTCACTAGAAATCACGCACTCAAACTAACTGCAGGTAAATCCTTGTCTTACAAAACCATTCATTTACTGACTACGAATTAGGGAGAAAACAACCCCATTGCAATTGGAGCTCTTGGTGCAAATCTTCATCAAATATTTATAGAAAAGGTAAACGTACTAGAGGTGACACAACTAAAATTGGCGAAAGGCTGCCCTCTTTGTATCAGTATATCTATTTTATGGAGATTCCTCCGTGAAATAAGATCTTTGGCTGGGTATTGGATCACTGAAGTCAACATCCAATTAATTAGATGGTGGCATTAGTTTGGGTCACTGCAACAGTTCTCCAGTTCCTGAGTGTTAAACTTCTCTGTTTACTTCTGAAATGTGCAAGAGGGAACATTGACATTAAGGTCATAAGTCATTCCTCCTTTGGCGACTTCTGTGGTTAGGAGGCTCAGCTGCTCAGCCAGAACATCAAGACGTGAAACAACCGAGCATTAACCTCCAATCAATGAGGTGCTTCTGCCAAATATAAGCTTTCAAAGAGGGGGCTGAGATCAGAGATCTCGTTTCCTTCCTCCTTTCAAATGAGAGAAAACCGTCAAGGAAATATTAATTGTTCGCCCTTCTTGGGTGCTGAGCCTGGAAAAATCAGGCTCTCTCCAAGCTCGCTTATCTAATTGCCATCTCTGTTTGGCTTCAGGGGGATCGGTTGCCTGCCTGTGAGGTTGATGGCAACAGATCACAGAACCACAATTGACCCCTGATTGTTATCAGTGTGGTAGATTGCACTCTTCGCAAAGGCCATGATGCCTTCAAGATTCGGTTACAAAAACAACGGGTAATTGGCAGGCTACATTGGGACGACAATGAACATTAGTGCCATTCAAAACTCTTTCCTTCCTTCCTTTTCCTTCCCCTCCCTCCCTCCCTTCCTTCCTTCCTTCCCTTCCTTCCTTCCTTCCCCTTTCCCCATCCTCTTTCTCCTTCTCCTTCTTTCCATCCTCCCCCTCCCTTTCCCTTTCTCATCTCCTTCCTTCCTTCCTTCCTTCCTTCCTTCCTTCCTTCCTTCCTTCCTTCCTTGCTTCCGTTTTCCCTTCCCCATCCTTTTTCTCCTTCTTTCCTCCCTCCCTCCCTTTCCCTTTCCCTTTCCCTTTCTTTTTCTCCATCTCCTTTCCTTTCCTTTCCTTTCCTTTCCTCTTTCTCCATCTCCTTTCTCCTTCCTTTCTTCCGCCTTCCCTCCCTCCTTTTTCCCTTTTAATCATGATCTCCTCCCCTCCCTCCCCTCCCCTCCCCTCTTTCCCCTCCCGTTAGGCGAAAGCTCTGCCTTTTCAAAGGAAACCTTTAATGAATCTATTTGGGTTGCTAAAAATATAGAGAACTAAGAAAAGGAAATGATTTTAAAAAAAGGCCCGGAGGATTTTATGTCTTCATTCCGCGCCCATTTTTATTCATTTAACACACTAAACAGCCTTTCCTGACAAAGAAATGATGGCCAATGGAAAGAACAGGGGAAAAAGAGAGAATACGGGGTGATTAATTAAGCCCAATTGAAAAAGAGCTGGTGGGGAACTGTCCTTAAATTGGCCAAAGGCTTGTCAAACAGAACTGGCCCAAGAATTTTTCTGTCTGAAGAGCAGGAGGGCTGGACTGTGCTGGAGGGGTGGGAGAATGGGCTGCCCTGTCGATATAATAAAACTGACTATTGAGTTTTCTTTGCCTGTCCTTTTTTTTCCCTTTCCTGAGCCAGCACTACTTAATCAAGAATGCAGCTCCTCTTTTTCTCTCTCTCTCTCTCTCTCTTTCTCCCCCTCCCTCTCTTTCACTCTCTTTCTTTCACTCTCTCTCTCCTGGCTCATTAATTTAACTAATCCAGAACTCAGCCAGAAGGCGGTGACAGAGTCTTGTAGCACTTGGAATAATTAAAAGGGAACGGAATAAGATATTGATGGAATCAGCTTTATTCTTAGACAACTTCGTGGAGGACTGGAGGGGTGAGAATTAATTTGACAGAGGGGAAATGGATACAATTATGGGCATTATTAAATGAGTGCTATTAGGTATGATAATATCACAAGAAGTTGGGGAAAAACCTTGAACTATAGAGGTTTGGCATCCAGAAGAGGCGTTTTTATTTATTTAATTTATATCCTGCTTCAGGACAGATACAGTATAGATAGTCTTTCTTCCATCTATTTTTCTCCAGAACAAGCACCACAACTTATGAAGGAGATTAAATTCAGAGAGAATAGGAATGATTCCATCATTTTATGAGCTTCCATGGTTAATGGTGGACACAACCTAGCTTTTTGTGGCACCAATCCTACCCCTTGAGCACTTCTTCTCAAGATCCAAGACGTGTTTTTTTTTTTAAGTAGGACGATGGAACCGTGGTTCTAAATTTCTTTTGCATAAATCAGCTAAAGGCAACCATTGGTGTGCAACAAAATGTGGTGCTCTATTTTCACATGTCAACAAGATCACTCCTGGTTGTTGTTCCAATCCATCTGTGAATTTGCTCCTTCAAAAGGAATTAGGGAGTCATTTAATTTATTTTTAAGCCAACTTAGGTCTAGTGGTGTGACTGATCCACAGGGAGAAGTGGCACCATTTTGGAGGAATTCAACCATGGCAAGCTGAAAGTGTCTCATGATTCCAAGGATTAAAGATGACATGATAGCAGTTCTAGCATCTGCCATGAAGAAGAGGGGAGTCAACCTATTCTTCACAGCCCCTGAAGGCAGGACAAGAAGCAACAGGTGGAAACTCATCAAGGAGAGAAGCAACTTAGAACTAAGGAGAAATACACTAAAAGTGAGAACAATTAACCAGTGAATGGCTTCCCTCCAGAAGTTATGGGTGCTCCATCGTTCGAAATTTTTAAGAAGAAATTGGACAGCCATTTATCCAGAGAGGTATTGGCTTGTGCAGAGGGCTGGACTAGAAGAGTGGCTGCCAACCAGTGGGCCAGGGGACTACTGGTGGTCCATGAGAAAAAAATTGGTGGTCCGCAGAGAAATGTCACCCCCAAAGCATCTCCCAAAGCAATTAATCCAGGCTGTGTGGGAACACGAGGCTTGTGTCACTTGCATTGCGAATGACACAAGGTAGTGAGGGGAGGCAGGAAAGGGCAGAGGGGGGGGAATTTGCCCCATTCGCCTCATCTGGCCACCCGGCTGCTTCTTTCTGCTTCTTTCTTCTTCTGCTTTTGGCTGCACGCAAGGAAAGCAGCAAAAGTCTTTCTTTCTCTCCCCCAAACTCTGCCAGAAATGAATCTTTTGCACCCTGCAAGGCCTCCTGCTCCAAAAGGCTACGCTGGTGCGACAAGTCTCACAAAAACTCATTTCTGGCGGAATTTGGGGGAGAGAAAGAAAGGTTTCTGCTGCTTCTGCTGCTTTCCTTGCATGAAGCCAAAAGTCTCTCTCTCTCTCCCCCTGAGAACGGAGCTGGAGACGGTATTCTGCAATCCCAAATAAAGAATGATCAATCGGTAGGAAAACGGGGGGTGGGTGGGAATTTTCCTGCAGACATTTTGGGGGATTTTCCCAGGGTCTCTGGTCCGCGGGATTTGAAATTGTGAGTTTGGGGGTCCCTGAGGTCCAAAAGGTTGGACTAGATGACCTCCAAAGTCTCTACCCACTCTGTTATTATTCTGTTGTTGTGTTAAGATAGAAAGGATAAACAGAAGCAAAGACTTTCAGGAGGTTTTTGGAATTTAGCTTCATGGTAGCACAACCTCCCTCCCTGCCCAGCCTTTCTACATCATCCAACGGAGGATACAATCCACGCGTTCAGGACGTCATCACCCCGGAGTTTAAAGCATTTGTAGATATATTAAAGGAAAAGCAAAGGCATGGAGCAAGGCTAAACGAAAAAGGAAAACAAGCTGCTTTCTAATATCCGAGGATATTAAGAATTCACTTCATTTTCTATTCGTCTCTGACCTGGCCAACATAATTATTGAAAAATGCAGGTAGCTGTTTGTCTTGTCATCCATAACAAATGCATTCGATCCCTTGAAGGGGGCAACTTCCACTCTCCAAAGTCTAGCTTAGGGAAGGACATTTTGCTTTCATGACTAGGGCGATGCCGTTCACCCCTGATTGTTTGCCACCTTCTCAATTTGCACACTCCTCTTTTTGGGCACGAAGGCCGTTCATGGATTGGAAAGGATTTGCTAAAATTTGTTTGGCGACGGTCTTGAATTTGTAGCCTCAGGACACGCCAAAGCTATGGAAGGGGAGGGGTTCTCTTAAGAAGGGGGCTGAATCCAGAGGCTTCAAAAGTCAAGAATTGGGTCTAATGGAAGGGATTTTAGGCTGGGAAGAGAGGGAAGGGAAGGGAGGAGGGGAGAGGAGAGGAGGAGAGAGAAGGGAAGAGAAGAGAAGAAGAAGGGAAGGGAGGGGAAGGGAGAGGAGAAGGGGAGAGAGAAGGGAAGAGAAGAGAAAAAGAATGGAAGGGATAGGAAAGGAGAGGAGAGGAGGGGAGAAGGGGAGAGAGAAGAGAAGAGAAGAAGAAGGGAAGGGAGGAGGAGAGGGAATTTTTCCTTCTGAAATATCACCCCAACTGGCTGGGGAATTCTGGGAGTTGAAGCCCATTCATCTTAAAGTTCCAGAGATTGAGAAACATTGGCCTAGAGACCGAGGGTGGGACGGTGATTAGGGCACCAGGCTAGAAACCGGGAGACTGTGAGTTCTAGGTCTAGTTCCACCCTGGGCATGAAGTCAGTTGGGTGGCCTTCGGCCAATCACTTTCTTTCTGCCCTAGGAAGGAGGCAATGCAAACTATTTCTGAAAAACCTTGCCAAGGAAATGTCATGCAATCTCCAGAAGTCACACAACAACAATTAGTGCCTAATTCTGAGCAGTGTGTTACTTCTTCACTTTTGCAGAGCTACAAATTTAACAGTCTGTTGGGTGGCCTTAACGCGTGTATACTAACCGATATTCTGTTTGGAAAATTGACACCTATTCTTCCAGTTTCATTGCTTTCCAAAATGTCAAAGAATGGATTTTGCTGATTTGAATGGACTGACCCACCCGAGTTGTTAAGAAAATGCCTCTTTTCAAAGAAAATCTTTCTAATTATGCCTAATTTATGGGAACATATATTAAAATCAATCTAAATGTTATTGCAAATGTGTTGTGATATCGGCTGCATCATAGAGTTATAGAACTTGGCAATTGAAAGCTACCACAAGGATTGTCTAGTCATTAATGACTGAACATGTGCACAATTGATGTGAATTAATCATGTTAATCGATTTAAATGTAATTAGTTGAACGGTAAGACTGGAATTTGCGTTATACAAAACAATCAACAGCAATTAAAGTTATTGTGAAAATAGATGTTTTCCATGAATACGGCTGCTATTAAAAATAATTATCTGTATATGTTTATGGTTTCCAACAACTATTTCCTTCAAGAACTGCATAAAAGTAGGGATGGAGGGGAGATCCTGGTCTTGGGGGTCTGAGAAGAAATGCAGAAGAATTCTGAGAAGAAAGAGTAGTCCTTTATAAAACATCACATGTGAGAATGTCACCCTTGTGAAGTAGGCCAGACAGGGAATATGACCAGGAGAGCTCCATTAACAGAATCCTGCAAGTCCAAAAGTACAAATCTCCCACCATCACTTTTATAGCCTGAGAACTTAGATAGGATTCCTGTTGAGATGACTGCCCCACTCGCTACTCATTGTTGGCTGGGCTGCCTCTTATCTGATCATTCTCTTGGCTCTGTCTTTTCTCCTGGCCTCCAAGATCTTTCCCACATACCACTACAGAGACTCATCCCTCGATCAAAATATTTGACTCGTTTTTCAAACACATTTCCTTGGAGATTTTCTACATTATCCTAAGAAAGCTTGTTTCTGATGTCACCAGAATTACATTGGGAAGATTCAATTGATTTTGCAGAATGTTAAGGTTTAATGCCACACGTGCTGTGTCCATATGAAAATGAGATTTTCCATTTCCCCCCTCTGCTACTTTGCATTTTATTTACTTCTTCACACACACACACACACACCCAAAAAACACACACAACTGAAATATTGTTGAGTAAGTCTTGCAGGACCTCGGAGAGCTCCAAAGTTCTCAAGTCATTCCAATGTTCATGCTACGAATGACAGGAAGACTAGCTTTGAGTACTTTCGTCCAGTTATGGGCCTCATAGGTAAGTCTGTAGTTTCAAATTACTACACAGCTAATTTCTATCTAATTTCTATACTATCGGGTTGGTTTGTTTGTTTTATGGGTCAAAGCCAAGCCACAACACTGAAATTCAGTGCACCATTAATACATAATATAAAATAAATCTCCCTTTAAAATTAGCAATTTATCAGAAGCAGGAATGGTTCAGAGGTCACTCGCTGCTTTTGTAAGCTACACCGTGCATTATTTAGGAACGGCACACAAATATAATCTGAGCAGAAGCCCCAATTTAAAAAATAAAACTAAAGTATTGGGCTACTTTGAAAAGGAAGCGAGTCCAGACCCATCTGTGGTAAACAATGATCGACGAGAAGTGGACCTCCAGATTTTGTTTGGTCAAAAAACATCATCGCAGAAAACAACAACGGCTAACGGGAATAAATTTGATTAGATGTCTGCTGTCATTTCTATGATTCAAAGGCATTAAACTACATGCTGCGTTCTGCCTTGGTTTAATTTTGGCTTAGCTGGATGAGCAAAATGAAACATTGTGGTTTAATCAACAAATACAGCTTAACCAACCCATCGCTTGGAGCAATGAACTGATTCCCTCCTGTCAATCTTTCTAAGATAAAGTTGACTTGGCATTCATCGCAAGGATTGCCAGAGAATGAGAAATAATTGCACAGGGAATACAATCCCCTACTTTTTCCCTATGTAATGTGAAAATAAAATAAACATGCTTAAAGATAAATGAAAACATATTTCTTCGGCTTTTTAGGACATGGGTTTTATTTGGAGCCATGCTTTCTTTGGCAGACTCCATAAATG